CTCTGAACCCTGTCCTTTTGTTTTTTTATGGAGGCTTCATTACATAGGCACAATTGATTAAAACACTGACTGGCAGTTGATTCAACCTCTAGCCCTTCTTCCATTCCTGGAGGTCAGGAGATGGGACTGAAGGTTCCAACCCTTTAATTATAAGGCTGGTTCCTCTGACAAACAGCCCCCACCCTTAGGTGCTTTCCAAAATCACCTCATTAATATAATAAAAGACAGCTTTATGCTATCATCACTTAGGCAATCTAAGGGTTTTAGGAGTGCTGTGCCTGGCACTGGGACAAAGACCAAATACATATATATACAGTAGGTGCCCAAAAAATGTGTACACATTTTAAGAAAGGATAAAAACTGTACTAAAATTATGCTGATGGTAACCACTTTGAGCACCTCTTGTAATTGCAGCAAACATGACTTGTATTCATCTTTTGTTATCGGTATATATTGAGTATTACAATTTTAATGGTAATATAAGGAAGGGCAAAATAGTTTATATGAAAGGCTAAGGTCCAGAATGGGTTGGCTTAATGAAAAAATGCCAACAGAGATGACAGCAACATCAACCTATGATCAAACCACAAGAATAAAGAAAAGATAGAGCCATTGCTGGAGAAATACCGAAATCTCAACAAATGTCAAAGAGCAAGCAAGTAAGACTATGAATTCCAAGTCCATCATTCTGGAGAATCTCCTCAATGTGGGAAGGATAAGACAGACAGACCTAAGACGACACTCACTGCCTTCTCTCTTACCTTAATAAGTAAACTTTCAGAGCCCCTGTGGAACTGGTAAACATCACAGTTGGAGTTGAATCGAATCCCATGCACTTGTGCTACATCATCATGTGGCCTCATAATAAATCCGAAGTCGGTACCTAAGTTCAAAAGATCAGTTGTAATTCATGAACTGACTTTACAGCAGGTATGAGACAGAGGAAAAAAAAAAAGATTTGTGGGTTATATTGTCCATAGCTTATTACAAGTTGCCAGTGATATGGCTGCCAAAGAACATCAAACATACTCTTTAAAAAATGATGTATGTGTATAAAATAAATTATGTATGTATATGTACACACACAATTTCTAGATTTAGAGGAGGTTGAGAGAGAGAGAGAACATAAGAATCAAATTTGGGAAATACAGAAAGGCACAAAGAAAGTAGAAGTTAGCCGTAATTACCCAAGGCAGCACTAGCTTCTGTAAGCGTTTTGGTGAATTCACTCTCAGGCACTTTCTCAATGCTTGTGTGTGCGGAGGTCGTCTGGCTTTCTGTCCAGTATTCTTTCCTGTCCTATGTAATCGAAGTCGATACTACCCACAGTGTGGTCTGCAGGCTGCCAGCGTCACTATCCTCCTGAAGCTTGCTAGAGACACAGTTTCTATCGGGGCCCTAGCCCCGACCTATCTACTCAATCAGATTCCTTGGAGTGGGGACCAGGCCCCTGTGTTTACAAAGCCTCTGGGCAATTCAGATGCACAGGAAAGTCTGAGAAGCACTAGGCTTATACCATTTTTCCTCAAGTGTGGTCTGTGAACTGTTACTGGACTGTGACAAGATAATTCAAAAATTAAACAACTTAGAAACATTTATATTCATTTGACATGGCTGTGACATCCAGGCATGGGATCCTTTTAAAATATAGTTCTATCGGGCCGGTTGAGTGGCTCAGTTGGTTAGGAGCTCACTCAAGAGTTTGAGCTCTGAGCAACAGCGGTTCGAGTCCTGGCCCGAGCTGAGCAGCCACTGAGCTGCCAACAGGTGGCAGGATGGCCCAGCTAAAAAAAATAAATAAATAGCTTTTCACTATAGCTGTTATGGAGGCCCGCCACCCTCTGGAGATCCCCGAAGGCCAGGACCCTTTTCTATGCGCTCGCCGTTCGGAATGAGCAAATCCGAGAAAATGGGGTGGCAGACCCACTGCAGAGTATCGAAGTTGGGGGCAGCATCCCACCCTGAGGTTGCAAGTTAGCGAGGGACTGGCAACCCTTCAACAGCTGAGTTTTGGAGTGGGGAGCACTGGCCTGGCGAGAGGTGCTTTATTCGTTCCCCCAGGTTTTGAGTGCTGAAGGCTGATAAGTGCAGTTTCAAAGCTGGTGGGGGTGGCAGTAGCAGCAGCAGCTCACCCTGAGAAAAGAGGCTAATTTCCCAGAGAATGGTCAGCTATGCTACCACAGGGGCAGAGTTTTGAAGTCCCAAGGACCAGTAGCTACCATCAACTTGGACTCTGAAAACCAAAGCTTCAACTTTTGGTGTAGAAACATGTTCAACTTAAGCCGAGTATCAACAGGACATCTTACCAACATAGCGCCGAGAAAGGAACATGGCAAACTTTTTCTAGGACAGCCACTTTTGGGTCATTAAATTAATGAGCTTTCTAGTATTATCCCTTGCTCAAAAGGAGCACCTGTATGTATTGTATATTTTAATATTATGTAAATCTGTTATATTGGGCAAGGGTCTGAATTCTTTAAGCTGGAAACATTTCTTCCTGAAATTATCTCCATGCATTACCATAAACTAACATTGTAATAAAAATAAATAAATAAATAAATAAATAAATAAATAAATAAAATTTTAAAAATAAATAAAATAAAATATAGTTCTGTTATAGTTTACAAAATCAGTCCACAGGAGACTCCTTAAAAAAGAACTCATGATAGTTGGTGCCTGTGGGGAAAGATGAGAGGAGCAAATGAGACTTTATTTTCTTAATTTAAAAAGAATACCCACAAGGAAAGAAAAACGTGTCCTTGACCACAGATGGTATGAAAAGCACTGGTCTGTATTGTCTGTGTCTCTTTAGAGACAAGACTACTCGTTTCCAACAGGAACCTGCTGCAACTGTAGCGACTTGCAAGGGTCACCTCTAAAATGACTGCTTACTTTGCTAGAAGTGAGATAAACTGAACTTGGTGTGGAGGGGTAAGCAGGAGATAGACTTTGGTCTCTAGGAGCAAAGGGGGCCACTGCAGGTTTCTTCCTTCTTCTCTTTCTTTCAAAAATACAGAAAAATACATTTCACTGTAGGTTTTATTAAAGCAGGGAAATGGCACGATGAGATTTGTTGTTTTTTTTAATGAGTCGGCAAGACCAGGTGTAGGAAGATGAGTTGGGAAGCAATTGCAGTTTTCTGGTCAAGAGTTGACAGTTGTTGTACAGCTGAAACTAATTCTAAAAAATGTGTATTTCATAATAAAAAATAATTTAATTAAAAAAAAGAGTTGACAGTAGCTTAGGGTGGTGTTGGTGGAGATGAGGAAAAGTCAACAAATTCGAGATTTGTCTTTTGTCTTTTGTTAAAAGTGAATCTTGAATACATATGTCAGGAGGTGAGGGAGAGAATTACCTCATTCCATGGCTTGGCTTTGTTTCTTGTATATCTTAATATAGTTTTCGAGATAATCAGGCTTCTGTGCTCCTTATTTCAGTAAAGGAGAGGTGAATGGTTGCTTGTATTTGCTTTGGTCTCACAGCCTGCTCACTGTCAGCTCTGTGCATTCTCCTTTGACTTTACCTGAATACCTAGAGAGCGTGGTTCCATCTTATTATAGAAAATCTGCTTATTGACCCTTTTTTTCATCCTGGACTTTATAACCTGAGAAGACAATTTGGTTATATTTCCACAATAAAAAAATTAATCTGAATATTTAATAGGCTTTATTGACAATGGTTTTTCCAGAAATACACAGGTATAAAACTAATCAGTTAAATGTTAATAGTTTATTATATGTGGTGTGTACCTGCTTATATGTATGATTGCTAATTTTGGGGTAATTAAATTCAATTTGTGTGTATCAAGGAGACTACTTAATGCCTAGCATGGTTTATACAGTGATTCCCAGAGCCTGCTCTTAACTGACCAGTAATATTTCTTATAAAACCGGCGTCTAACCTAGGGTCATTGCCTTTTTATTTTATCAAGAACCTAAAACCAAATCAAGAATGTTTATATTTACTCTCACCATCAATTCAAAAATCTAAAAAATAATTAACACCAAAGGGTGAGAAGTAGCCAAAAACGAAGTACTTTTCTTTCTTTTTCCATTAGTTTTTAAAAACCAACTTTACTAGAGGCATAATTTACACATAATAAAATGCACATATTAAGTGAGAAAAAAAAATGAAAGACAGAGTCTTAGAAGATAGAACAGGGATTGAAACCAAACAGATTTAGTTTAGAAAAATTAATAATCTCCTTTATTTTTCTCTTTTTACCATGGATTGGTGAAAACGTCATCAGGGCTGGTCTGCAATACATTTTGAGAACCACCATTCTAGAAGTGTCTGGGAAAGAAGAACTTTTCCCAAAACAGTGTAGGGGAAGAAAAATAATTTTCCCTCTACCCTTCTACATTCTTGGCTGACACCCACCCTCACCCCCCCATACACACACACACCCTCACTATAATAAGATATATTAACAAGAGAAGAAAATTACATATGTACGCTTGGGAGTCCCACAAAGATGAGACTCAAAAGGCAACCAGAGGACTGAGGCTAATATTCGCTCCTGAGCTAAGGAAAGGGCTAGGGGTCTGGGGCTTCCGAGGTGGGAAGGCAATTCATGGGAGGGTGACAAGGGGAAATGTTTGGTAAACAGTGGCTTCCCTGCCTAGTAGTAGGTAAGTCAGGTGAAAAAGTTATCTCTGGTAATAGCTCTACTCCTGGTATAAGCCACCTTTCTGACATAAATCTCCTTTACAAAAGGGCAACTAATACTCAATTTTCAGAGCTTCTCCTGTCTCTGCAGTTCATTGAAAATAACAAATATGCCTAAGAGGCATATTTTGGGGTTGCAAATTCTGCTACCCACTGACGGAAAATATAGAGTTAACCCTGAAGGGCTCTTGTCAGGGGCCCAAGAAGTGAAAGGTGAGGTCACCAGCTGTGGCATGGTGGTAGCTGTGGGGTGGGGAGGAGAATCATTTTTTTGGATTCATTTATTCGTTCATTACCTCTTACCAACCTTTTTTTTTTTTTAACATGTTCAGCCTATCAGCTTATCACCGTGGTGATTGCAGCAGCAGGCGGTGGGCTTTTGCTTATCCTAGGCATTGCACTGATTGTTACCTGTTGCCGGTGAGTGATGGAGTTCACATTCTAATTCAGTTTCTTTGCGTGTGCTATGCAAGGGCCAACTTTTACCCTTAAAGACTCTTTGGGGTGGTTTACAATATTAAATGATAACATATGACTAAGCCACTAAAAAAAAGAGAAAGGGACATTCGTGGTAGGAAGTGCCATTGGAGGAAAAGAAAAGAGGGCAAATAGGACTTTATTTTCTTTTCATTTATCTATTTTTTATTAAGTTTTTTTTATTTTTTATTGGGGAATTAGGGGATGGGAACAGCGCTGGGGAATTGGGGTAAGGGGAACAGACAAGTTGCTCTCCTTTTGTTCTTCAGTCTAGTTGTGGAGGACATTGCTTCACTGGCCCAAGTTGGCACCATCATTGCGCTCTTCCCGGGTGAGGCAGATCAGTCG